AGAACCGGCCGTTTACAAATTGATAAGGAGGGGGTGTGGACAAAAAAAAGAGGCTCAGAATCGATCCCCACATGTGGGCATGGAAGTTGGACATGGAGACTCGGAGAGGGGTGCACAGCCAGTACTGGGCCTTAAACCACCAGTACTTGGCCCATACGTCGGCCGCGGGCGTTTCCCGTTAACGCGCCACGAGTGATGGGCTTCGGCCTACCGGACCACAATGGCTGGAGGCGCCAGCCAAACGAAAAGTTAAACGACGCAGCGGCGGCTAGGCAAAACTTGGCGCGCAGGGCGTTTCCCGGCTCGGCATCAATAGCTGGGCCAAGTACTGTGGTTTAACCAACTGTCGCCAGCCGTACTAAAGAAGTAAGTAAGCGGCTAAACAAAGAACACCACTGGGAGAGGGCTCAGCCGGCTACCGATGTGCCGTTGGAAAACGAGTGGGTTCGGCTGTGGAAACAGCTGGCAGCAATCCCGTCTCAGAAGATTTCCTCTTTATTATGGCTGCAATCCCACCTGTCCATCCCAAGAGCAAGATGGTTGTACAACAGGGGGATGCAGGTAAGGTTGGAATGTGACCGGTGTGCATGGCCATTTGAAAACCATGACACACATTTGGTGGCCCCGCCCCCCTCGCAGAAGTGGTGGAGATGGTGGTTTCAGCATTGGGTAAGCATGTCAGTCGATACGAGGTGCCAGGGGGGGGAGCGCTGGGTCAGCTGTCAGTGGAAAACGCCCTGCCTCGTTGGCAGGGCACTAAAAGTAACTTAAAAGAAAAATTTAAAAAAAAACACAAAAAACAAAAAATGAAACTATCGATGATTCTGGGCAGATGCATTCCTAGAGGCACTACTGTGAGCACACTTCCTTCGTGGCTTTCCCTGACGTCCTTCCTTTCAACTCTGCAGTTTCTTTTCTTTTTTCTTTTTTTTTTTTCTTTTTTTTTTTTCTTTTTTTTTTTCCGATCGGGCCCACAAGGCCCAAATGTTTTGTTTTTGCGAACCCTCGCCCGGGCCCAAATGTTTTGTTTTTGCGAACCCTCGCCCGGACCCCCGAACTCTGCGGTTGAGGTCATTTTCCCTAATGGGACTACAGCTTGGAAAGGTAGAGGTGGTTAAAAGCAAAGTTCAAACTTTTCAACTTTTGATTAGTGGCTCCTTATTTGGGCGATCAATGTGACCCCATGTGTCCCCCCATTTGGGGTTCCCTGAAGGCAATCAAGGCCACCCTGGGCTGAAAAGGCCACCCGATGTCAGATTAGACACAATATTGAATTTACCTGGGCTGGTAAGTCCGATGACAATACATCAAGGCCATCGCCTTTTAAAAAAAAAAAACACAAAAAAAAAAAAAAAGTACTACCGTCTTCCCCCGAACATAACGCACCCTAAAAATGATGGTATACAAGCTATATTTCCGGCCAGATACCGCCAAAATAAGGGTGCGTTGTGTTGGGGGAAGACGGTAGTTACCACTCTCCCCCCTCCCACCCATCCCATCTACGCTGCTCCATTCTCCTTCTCCTCTCTTTCCCTCTATCTTCTTCTTCTCTGCTGCGGCATTGGTGAGTTGCCACGCCAGCACAGTGCCACGTCAGCAGGCCACATCAGCAGTGACACATCAGCACACCACGTCAGCAGGCCACGTCAGTGACACGTCAGCAGACGTCCGTGCCACGTCAGCAGCCCTGTGCCACATCAGCACCGGCCACACATGCCTCCAGTCCTTCAGTCAGTGACCAACACGATGGAACGTAAGGGCAATGAGTCCGAGGCAGACTGCGAGGCCTGGCTGGCTGACAGGATTCTCTAGCTTAAGCAACGAGCAGATGCAGCACTTGCCACTCGCGAGATGAGACAGAGAGAGAAGTCTAGAAAAAACGTCGTCTGGCCACCTTACAGCAGCAAGCGAACGAGAACGCAGCACGCCAGGCTGCAGACGAAGCACGACAAACACGCCGGGATGCATTATTCGAGGAGGAGGCCGACGTCTTGACCTTGGCCACCGACTGGGACACGTCGGCCAAGGAGGAGGGTGCCTCCGAGACCGTGCAGAAGTTCTCCAAGCTCATCAAGGGCCACCTGCATGGCCCAGCAAGAGGACACCCTCACACTGGACAACAATGTGCAGACATTGATTGACCGCCCGTGTCCACACCTTGGAACAGCGGCCCGTGCTGCAACAGCCGTTGGCCCCTCCAACATTCCACAGCCGTTGGCCCCTCCAACATTCCGGATCGCGTCAACGCTTTGGAGATTGACGTTGGCACTCTCAACGACGGTGCTTCGCAGAATCAGCAACTCCAGTCAACCTATCAACACTTGGGGCAGCAGATTCGTGCAGCAGCCGCAAGCCCAGCCTCGTCATCTCATGATCGCGTACCAAGTTTGATCGCCAGTTGGGCTGATCTGATCTCACGGCAGCATGGCATTCGTGGTTCCAAGTGGAACCGCCCGAGCTTCAGGCGATGGGGAGACTGCAGAAGTTCAATCAGAACGCCTTGCCGAGCACGGATACGGATTGGATCGCCGAGTACCAACACTTGGCATCCACGCCCGACTTGCCGATTTATTTCACTGGCTCGAAGCACTACTTCATTAGGAGGTCGTGCAGGAGATGGAGTGGGACGAGACGGAGCAGATGAAGAAGGAGATGGAGAAGAGACGAAGGAGGAGGAGATGCAGAAGATGGAGAATGAGGAAATGGAGGGGATGGAGGAGATGGAGAAGATCGAGGAGGTGGAGAAGGTGGAGGAGGTGGAGGAGGTGGAGGAGGTGGAGGTGGTGGAGGGGATGGAGGGGATGGAGGGGATGCAGGAGATGGAAGAGATGGAGCAGATGTAGGAGATGGAGGTGATGGCGGAGATGGAAGAGGGGATGCAGGAAATTGAAGAGGAGAGGTGGAGTAGGACATGGAGGAGGAGACGCAAGACGTGGAGGAGGAGATGAAGGAGATGCAGAAGATGGAGGAGATGGAGGAGATGGAGGAGCAGATGGAGGAGCAGATGGAGGAGATGAAGGAGAACATGGAGGAGATGGAAAAGATGGCGGAGCAGATGGCCAGAGAAGGAGATGGAGAAGAAAATGGAGGGTATGGACAAGCAGATGGAAAAGCAGATGAGAATGCGCGGTCTAATTTCTTCCCTTTTTCTGAAGCCTCTTCTCGCCGCTAGTGCTGATCAAAGACGATATAAAAGATTCTCCGAAAACAGTCACGGTCTCAAAAACGTTAACGGAAGAAGAAAAAAACAAACAGACAAGACGAAAAGACAAAAGCATTTATCTTCCGCTAGACAAATCGCGAGACATCGTTTCGCCCAAAGGAACCCTAACCATCAGCTTGACCGATAAGCCACAGAGGCCCTATTTCTTCCTTTTTTTTTTCCTTTTTCTTCCTCTTTTTCATAGAAGCCCGTCGTTATACGTACGTATGCTTCTTTTTTTTAATTCAAACCCCAACCTCCCCATCTTCTTGATCCAAATCTCGACTGTCCAGTTCCTGCCCATTCACATGGCGCCTCACTTACGTAAATCCCAAGCTCCGCATCTCCTTCATCCAGATCCCGACAATCCACCATCCTCCCGCCGCATTCCTGTGCCCTCGCTTCAGTTCACACGCCAAGCTCAACATCTCCTTCGTCCAGATCCCACCATACCATTCATGAGCCCGTCGCTACCGCAACTCGTACGACAAGCTGCACATCCCCTTCATCCAGATCCCGACTGCCCAGGCCCGATCGCCATTCGTGTGTGTCGTCCACGTCGCCTTCGTCCAGATCCCGACTGCCACGTTCCCGCCATCGTGCATTGTTTACTTCCCCACCCAAACGCCAAACTCCACATCTCCTTCCTCCCATCCCGATCCCGATTTCCAGCTCTCTTCGCCCGGATATACTGTATGTCGACACACGTCTCAGCCGAGTCCCAGCCGACACATATCTTCGCCGGCTACCGGTCTTCCAGTCGCGCCACTCTCCTCCAATGATTCTTCTGAGAGTCGGTCACCCACTGCATTTTTTTTTATTATTATTTTTTTGAAATTGACTTTGTCCACCCAATACCTTCTAATAATAGTGAGAAGGAAAATAATTAATAAACATTATTTAAAAAGCAAAATGGATGGATGGACCACTAGCTTCCGCCTGTCTCCTCCCCCCTGTGCCTTAGTTCCTTTTTTTACTAGTAATTCATTTTTTCCTTTTTTGTTTCCCTTAGTCCCTTTTTTTTTTCCCTTAGTCTCTCGGTCGCACTAGTCCGTTGGCGAACCCTTACCACCGAATCAAAATGGATTCGAACCCACAACTCATTGATTGATTAGAGATCTCAGCGAAACTAACAAAAAACAGACGGAATCTCTTTTTCTGTACTTATTTCCATTGTTTTTATGTAAATCGGATCCTTGTGGTCGTGGGCTCCTTGTCCATTTTGGAAAGAATCAGTTCGGTTCCATTTGACCGGGAAGTAAGAAAATGAATACGGTAAAAAAAAAAAAGGAATAAGATTTAAAAAAAAAAAAAAAATGAGATATATATATAGCCCTCGTTTGTTGTCCTCTTCTCCCTCTCTGCCGACGGTTTACCGGGCAGTTCTGTTTGACGATATATATATCGTCAAACAGAACTGCCCGGTAAACCGTCGGCAGAGAGGGAGAAGAGGACAACAAACGAGGGGCTGTGACAAACTGTTTCGTCGGAGTTTCACCGACTCATCAGGAGGCTGAATATCATCACATGAATATGAGAGGGCAAAAGCGGAAAAAAAAAAAAGAAGAAAAGAAAAGAAAAAAAAGAATGAATTCGTTTTTTTTATATCTTCTTCCTTATAACTCCCCCTGTTCAACATGAACACAGAGAGAGAGAGAGAACCACTCCTCGTTCCCTTCCGTCTAGCTGACACACCAGGGGCGAGGTCCCACTAGCAAGGAATATTGGTTGGATTAAGTTCCCGAATCTGGATGTGTTTTATGTAGAGATGCAGAAAAGCAGTTCAATCCTGGATTTCTGCACCTCTCCACAAGCACGTCCAGATCCAGGTGTTCCATCCGATCCTCCTTGCTTGTGGGACCTCGCCCCAGGTAAGAACTACCTACTCTATACTCCATTTCGTTCATTTCATTTCGTCATACCTAGATACTCTTCCCTGTTTTCGCTTTTCCAGGTTTTTTTTACCATGGCATTTTCTTCTTTTTTTGTCTTGATTATTTTTTTACTACGATTTTTTTTAATGTGATTTTTTTTTACTTGTTTACGGAGGAGCTATTGCTGTTCTATTTCTATTTATGGCTATGACAGTAAGAGTAAATGCCACCATTAACTGGCGCTTTCCATTCGAAGCTTAAATCACTACTCCGTTTCAACTTTGCTCCTTGTTTGTCTTTTCTTTTTTTCTTTTTTCTTTTTTTTGGGGGGAGAGGGGGCCGGGCGGGGGTGGGTTGGCTACGTTGGGCTGGGGTTCACCTTTTTTGGGGAAAATAAAGAAAAGAGAGGTGGTGTTAAATTGACCCTTCGCTTCTCCTGTTTGAGATGAAAACGAGCGTGACGGAGCTTCCCGCCCGAAGGATCAAAAAGATGTCAAGAAACGGGTTTATGCCCATTAGGGCCATTACCAAAAAAAAAAAAAAAAAAATTGAAAAAAATAATATTTCATATACAGTTCGACGATATAAACAGAGCTGCCCGGTAAACCGTACGCAGAGAGGGAGAAGAGGACAACAAACGAAGGGCTGTGACAAACTGTTTCGTCGGAGTTTCACCGACTCATCCATATAATAATATATTTAAATACATAATCCAGGAATCGGGCCTGGCATCCCGAGACATCAACGGTCAAGCCCAAAACAGGGCCACTGTCCACCACGGAACCCATCACTTTTTTCTTTTTCTTTTTTCACGGACCCCATCACTAAAATTACAGTAATTGGAAAAAAAGGACTCCGAGAGAGAGAACGTTTCTACGTCTACTACTGTTTGCCGTAAAGCGACATCTCATTATATTATATATATAAAAGAATTTACTTTTATCACGTGTGCTATAACTAGACAAAAAAAGAGCCAGGAAAAAGAAAAGAAACGCGACCAGCCTCGCCCTACTGGTGTCGTGCGCATCGACTACGTGCTCGTCATTACTCCTTGGTTCTTTCTTTTGCTTTCGGTCGTTTTTCCATTCTGTTGTCACCCCTTCATCACGCACACGTGACTCTCTCTCTCCCTCTCTCTCTCTCTCTCTCTCTCTCTCTCTCTCTCTCTCTCTCTCTCTCTCTCTCTCTCTCTCTCTCTCTCTCTCTCNNCTCTCTCTCTCTCTCTCTCTCTCTCTCTCTCTCTCTCACGCGCACACCCACACACACACACACCCACACGCACGCACGCACGCACGCACACGCACGCACGCACGCACGCACACGCACCCACGCACACACACACACACACACACACGCACCCACGCAACCACGCACACAGACACACACGCACGCACCCACGCGCGCACACACACACGCACACGCACAGGCACACGCACACACAATACACACTTTCTCTCACGCAGACAAACACACACACAATCCAACCGGTGTTCTGCGGTGCCCGTTTCAGGTTCCCGAAAACTAAGAGAAGAACGAGACAAAGAGGGGGTGAGAGAAGGGAGACAGACAGACATACAAGCAGGTAAGAGAGGCAGAGAGAGAGAGAGAGAGAGAGAGAGAGAGAGAGAGAGAGAGAGAGAGAGAGAGAGAGAGAAACTAATTGCAGTGAGAATGTAGGCAGCCAGACTGCATAATGAAGCAAGGTTGAACATACTTCGTCATCGAGTTCTATGCCGCCGGGAAATATCTCGCGCCCGCTTCGTGTCTTCACGGTTAGCTTCATCTTGCAAGATTGCTAGTTGGCGCACGTCCGCCGATCAATCGACACGTGGCCGAAGCTCACGAACGACCCCACGTGGTTTATCAAGTCGATGATCCAAAATGCCAATCTCTAGAACTAATGCGCGCGTTCATTTCGATCGAACATGCATTTTATTCCCTTCCCCTCCTGTGATCGCGAAAGAAGCAATTCCTCTTCCCGCCCTGACCTGACCTGACAGGCCTGGCCTGGACTCACCGGGGTCGGGCCTGCCTTGCCTTGCCGTGCCTTGTCTCGACAAACCGCAAGGCATCAGGCCGGAGTCCGACGTGCGACGTGCGACACGTGCGACGCTCGGCAACTCGTGCGCGGCGCGTAAGGTTGGGAGGAGACSGCTCCTTCCGCCGCGCACGAGGTCCAGTTCAGCAGCGAAGGACAAACAGAAAAAACAAACAAGAAAAGAAAAGAAAAGAAAAAACGAAAACAGAACAGGACCGTGTCCGCATTGTGCCGCCTGGTTCTACCACGTGAGATCGGTCTCGGTGCCGCCCTCCTGGGGCCTCATCCCACGATCAGGGTTGAGGCGAGTTTCCTCAGTGCCTGGATCTGGATGTATTTGGGGAGATGCGCGGTTGAGGAAACTCGACGCGATTTTCTGCACATCTCCACTGAAACGTCCAGATTCGGGCGTTGAGGAAACTCAACGCTGCTGCTGGCAGCCAGACGATGCCCCAGATCGATAGGCTCCCAACGGTTGGACCTTGAGTCCGGCTGTCAACGAACGGATCCGTGAGATCGGAAACAGGCGACATGCCATCAGATGTTGTGAGCTCAGACCCATTCTACCCACTGAAGTTCCACGCATGCCTCTATGGCTTGCAGCCCCGACTGATATACCGTGTTTTTTTTGGGAAAATTTGCCTGGCACCCCTGTATTTTCCATTAATTTGCGTCGCGCCCCTCCTACATCCGATTTACCCTGCCGCCCCCCTGGGCCTGAAAATCATCCCGGCAGGCCCCCGTCGGTGGAGAAGTTCGCCATGGTTTCTGACCCCTGATGAGGTTTCTGACCCCTGATGATTCCGGTCCGGCACCGGATGAAACGCGTAGGGTCGTCACCGAAGAAGTTCGCCATGGTTTCTGACAACAATAGGACATGATGTCCTCGTCCGGGTTGAACTTATTAGGCTGCTGTTATTGTTTAAATTTTACGCCTATCATGTTACGTTCGGGAGATATGAGTCATATGACGTGTCGTTTTCCTTCCTTCTGTTTTCTTTTTCTCCTCCTCTCAAATCTCCTATCTCTGACTGTGTCTTTTTCGATATGTCATCTTTCTTGGTATTGTCACGCTGTGTTGTAGGCCTACTGGCCGTGCCTTTGTTCCCTTGATGCCTCATGTTTGCTGCATGATGTACTTACCTTCCTTTCAACGTCGGAACCGCCGTAGGAATAGTACTACGCGCGAGTGACACGTCTGACTGCTGGTACGTTCAGATAGTGCATGCTGCGCTTCTTGGGGTCTTTTGTCTGGACTGCCTCGCTCTGTACTCTTTCTACTTCAAGTTCCCAATCATGGCCAGTTATCCTCCTCGGGACAATGGGTGTTATCAGTGTGGAGCCGCGAATCATTGGATCCGTGACTGCCCGCATTGTGCCTTTCGACCTGTCGCTACCGGGGCTAACATTGTTCCCACTCGTGCTCCCCTTCTTGCTCTGCCTCCCTCCAATGATTCCTCGGCCGCCGCCTCTACGGTTAACCAGCACCAGTCTTCTTCCGCGACCACCTCTAATTCAGGTCCAAGTCGTCCCAATTGGTGGACCCGTAATCAGGAGAAGTTGGACTTGTGCTACAGCAAGGTTATGGAGGATCGCCAGAAGGAAGCTCGAAAAAGGGAAGAGGAGGAGCGTATGCGCCTGGAAAGAGAAGAAGAGGAAAAGCATCTCAAGTGGAAAAAGGAATTGGGGAAATTTGAAACGAACATGGGCTCTCGCCTAGAGAAGAAACTTGATGAGCTCGGAGCCTCTATCAAAGGGAAGGGCGCTGTTGACGTCCCCACCAGCAATGACTCGGAGGATGAACTTGCGAAGTTGAGGCGGGAGGGCTGCGACTTGAAGGATAAAATTAATGCCCTTCTTAATCATCCGGGGGAGGATAAGGTTTTGTACTTACAACAGGAGATTCTGGATCTGCGCAAGCAGGTTACGTCGAAGCAGACAAGCGAGGATGCTATCCTTGCCCTCAAATTGGAGATGGACGATTTGAAGCGAATGAACAGCTCGAAACGAGACCTTGAGAAGGCGGTCACCAATCTCAGGAGTGAGATTAGTTTGCTGCAGGGATGAAATGAGCAGGTGATGGCTTAGGCGAACCAATGGAAGGATGAGGCGCTGCGCCCAGGTAATAAGCGGGGCAGCGTCGCGGTCAACACACCGGGCGAACCTCCGCGTGGTGCTCCGAAGCCACGCTGGACTGACAACATACGTGACACAGACGAATGGAGGGAGGAGTACCGGAATTTGCGTAATCTGCACCAATTGGCGAATGTTGAGGCGGAGGCGCTCAAGAAGAAACGCACGGAGGCGGAAGCAAAACGAATGGAAGCTGAGCTACAGGTTAAGAAGCTAGAAGAAAGGATGAGTAAGCTGTCGGCAAGCGGGGAGAAGGATAGGAGGGGAGGTGGCACCAACCTGAAGGAGCGTATGGAAGAAGCTGCCTTGCGATCGGCTCGTAAGGGAGTTAAGGCGACTTCGGGCAGATTTGGTGGCAAGTCTCCAGAAGCTGATGCGTCGACGCAGGATGCGGCGGAGGTTAACGACCGTACTGGGTTTGTCAAAGGAGAAAAGAAGAAGCTCCGGATGTTACGGAAGGCGGGTCTGGAGCCTTTGTGCAAAGAGGCAGATATCAAGCTCGATAGATTCGAGGATATTATCTGCGAGCTTGCTGAATATCGGGCTAAATTGCGGTTCGGATCTTCGTCTACGGATGGAGGTGGTGCCAAGGAAGCTTGCTCCGTTGTTGAAGTTGAGGAAGACTCTTCCAAGGACACAAGGGGTGAAGGAAGCGATGGCGTACGCTCAGTGGAGCTATAGGGGGTTGTCCCGGACGTAGCCAAGCTCTGGCGGTTGGCGATTGAGTGTAAGATATTGCGTTCTCATTCTCGTTCTTTCAGTCTCACCTCTTACCCGCCTATATGTTCTTCTGATGAATCTGTTCAGGTTGCTTCCCCTTCTGTCCCCGCTTGGTCTACTACTCTTCTCCGGGACAGGGGTCACAACGCCTTTTTTCGATTGGTGGTTATCGAGTTGATTCTTCGGGATGAAATCCCCTGGGCTAGGAAGTTTAAGTCTTACCTTTTACAACTTCTGAACTGCAGCTTTGACTTTGAGGCTTGTGATGGACCTCTGGTGTATGCTCCGGTATCCCCTTGGTGCAAGCATTTTTATGTTGGGTCCACTGCACGGTCTCTCCCGGTTCGGTGGGGGGAGCATGTTTATAGGACCACCAGTCTTGGAGTTGCCAAGGATGGCCGACGGAACCATCATCTGTATTCTTGGTTGAGACGTGACAGAGTTGGTGGGCATGTTGTTGTCCCTTTGTTTTGTTGTAACGCGGATGATTTGCTTGGCTTGGAGCGGTTTGCGATTGGTCTATTCAGCCCTTACCTCAATAGTCGAGATACTTTACGTACGTCTCGTCGTCGCAGACCTGATTTGAAAGAACGTCTGCGCAAGAAGCGGTATGCTGGGGATTCGGTCTTGTGCTGCAATGATCGTACTCGTCTCATCTTTTAGTCTGATGTTGGATCCTCGGTTAGGCTATCTTCTATTCTCGATCTTTGTATGGATAGACGTATTAACTCTGTTTCCATCACGTGTCATGGTGAGGAAAAGTTTGCTGAAAATTTGAAGGTGCTTAAGAGGCGGTTTGGTTCATCTTCGGTCCAATTTGGCGAATATATTGACCTTCAGAAGAAATATCGTTGGATCTTTCGACCTGGGATGTGCTTTTCTATCATAGTTGTTGTTCCTTTTCTTGCCCAGTCTTTGATTCTTAAGCCTCTACTTGCTAACCTCCTCTCATCACCTACCTCGCGTCGTGATCTGTCCGGATGGGACTTCTCCCTGCTTATTCAGGCTTTTTCTGCGGTTCACGCTTTTTCTGAAAAGCGTAGTAGGTACTCCCTACAGATGATCCTATCTAGGGTTATTTGGAGGAGATTCAATGTCAATGTGCGGAGGAGGTTGACTCTTTGCGTCACCTATGATGTGACTTTGAGTAAGGATGGGATTAGATCCGTGTGTTCTAAGGCTCTGATGAGGGTTGATGTGGATTCTGATTGGAAACGTATGATTGTTAGACGCATGCGCGTCGTTTGGCTCAAAAATAAAAGCGTTGGTGATTTTCTGTTCAACTTTCGCTCGGCTGCGAGGGAGGTGCAGCTCGACTGTGAATGTCATAAACTTTCGGGGGAATTTCCCCGGGTTGTTGGGCATGTTTGTTTTCGCATGAGTGCTTGGGGGGAGGCACCGTGTTGGTTGCGCAATAATCGAAATGTTGTTCGGCCTTCAAAGGTTGATGTGATTGGACGATTGGGGAAACAAATCTCTGTTGCTATGCTAGCTTTGGATTTTGAAGTTCCTCAGGTATGCTGTGTTGATTTGGCCACTTGTGTTACTCGGGTGACGGAGAGCCCTTCGGAGTGTACTGAGGAGAACATTTATCCTTGGATTAACAAGTTGGAGGGGCTCGTTCGCGTGCCTATTGATCATAATCCGGGTGACACTCTGGTTTGTTGCCCGGTCAACTATCAGATGGGGATGGACAGGCTGTTTTGCCAGAATCCGGGCTTTACGTTGCTTGATTCAACTAAAGATTCGTTGTTGCTCCACGCCAAGGATGAGTATTACCATGATGGTCTTCATAAGATAGCTGGTTGGGATTCTAAAGGGGAGCTCGGCTCTGCCTATGGCATCCCTGAGCACAAGGATATGCAACGTTGGAGGCCGATATGCCCGTCCTATTTGGAATGCTATGTCAAAGTCAGTCGCAAGGTTTCTCGCGCGGTCAATACGATGGTGTGGGCGCTACCCAGACGAATTCACTTCAACTTGAAAAGTACTGATTTGTCGGTCCAATCCTTGGATGCTATCAATAAGGAGGTGGTGGAAGTGGAGGCTTTGCTTACCGCTACTTTTGATGTGAAGGAAATGTTATGCAATCTTCCCCATGAGTCAATCATGGGAGCCCTTGATTCGGTGATCGATTACTGGCGAGGGAAGGCGGTGAGAGGTATCCTATTGAAGAAACATGACAAAGATGCTAAGCTCCAGCGTGGTCTGCTGCAGAAAGGTTGGAGTTCAATGGACTTTTCGACGTTATGTAAGTTGGTCTCCTTTGACTTGAACCACACTCTTATTAGAGCCAGCGGTATGATTTTTCGGCAAACGGTTGGGATTCCGATGGGGAAGCCCTCTAGTTAACTATCGCATGTCTTCTGTTCGTCCACTCTGAATTCTGTTTTCTCTCTGGCCTGGGCAATGATCGGCGTTTGGTACACGGCATCAGGCTCATTGATGATGTTTCTGTTTTTATTAGATATAACTTTAAGGATGAGGCATCCCTCCTGCTTGCTGAAAGGATTTTGGCTCAATTTGAGAAGTGCTACGATGCTAACCTTACGCTGGAATGCACCAGCCGATCGGACAATTGGGATTTCCTTGGATGTGTTATCCGAAGGTTTGACTGGCCGATTGGGGTCAAGTGCGCCGCTATCCACAAGAATCAGCGCTCCATTTTAGGGGACGGCATCCTCTTCCGGAACCTACAGGATAACTGCTCTTATGTCAGTCGGCAACAGAAGATGGCGGTTGTAGGATGTTTCTTGCATCGTGCTCGGAGGTTCACCAACCTTCATGTTGCGGTGACCTCTTTTCTTTTTCCTCTCAAGGTTGAGTTGCGGATTCGAGGATTTCCGGATTCGATCTTCGATCAGTCTCTGTCAAATTTTTCCTTGAGATTTGGCGGGGTCGCGGTCGCAGACTTGTCCGCGGATGGCCGCCGCCGAGGGGGATTCGTAGGTTGTCACCGGAGAAGTTCGCTATGGTTTCTGACGACAATAGGACATGATGTCCTCGTTCGGGTTGAACTTATTAGGCTGTTGTTATTGTTTAAATTTTACACCTATCATGTTACGTTTGGGAGATATGACGTGTCTTTTTCGTTCCTTCTGTTTTCTTTTTCTCCTCCTCTCAAATCTCCTATCTCTGACTGTGTCTCTTTCGATATGTCATCTTTCTTGGTTTTGTCATGCTGTGTTGTAGGCTTACTGGTCGTGCCTTTGTTCCCTTGATGTCGCATGTTTGTTGCATGATGTACTTACCCTGTCGGTAGTGGGTGCAACTTTCTAGGACGCCCTCCCTCAATTGGCGGCCCATTCCATCGGGCTCTGCGCCATATGCCCTCGTAAGGGGCACCCATCTTCCTATGCTGCCCCTGCAGCAGTGAGGCGGTGGAAATTTGAATTCAATTTCGAACGTCGTAGTTGTTGATGCACCGCCGCCATTTCTCTTGACGCGCCGACGCTCATGGAGGCCAACCTCCTGCTGGAAAACGGATCACGCCGCAAGGTAAGTGTTGGCCACCATCTTCGTTTTCACTCGTCGCTGCTCACTATGAAACCGCGCGTTCATTGAATGCGGGTTTTCCGTTCAGCAATTGAACGGAATGCACGTGCGTGCAATGAACGCGACTGAACCCAGAGTTCAATTCCGCGAGGGAGGGAAAAAAAAAAAAAAAAAAAAAAACCCTCAAAAAAATCCCCAAAAAAAAAAAGTAATGAAGAAAAATAAAATAAACAACATTTGCCTGAGCATCACATCAAAATTCGTTACCAAATTGAAAATAAAAATAGAAAACAAAAAATAGAAAAAAAATAAAAAGAGAATTGAAATTAGTGAGTGCGTGAGTACGTTTGTGACACCGCCATCTTTGGCGATTTTTTATTGTTTTTTGGCAGATCCAAATGCCCTAAAAATTTACAGATGTGTACTCCACATTATACAAAACTCATGAAAAAAGTGTAAAAAAATAATAATTTGTTTTAGGTGGCGAAATAAAGTGAAAACCTAGGCTACCAGCCGGGCCGCCCGGGTCCTGGGTGGCCAGCCCGTGCAAGGATCAGGTAAGGTCCCAGCAACAAAAAAAAAAAAAAAATCCAAAAATTCTGAAAAACAACTATGTTATGCAGAAAAATAAACTGAACAACTTTTGCCTCCGGGTCACATCAAAATTCTTCACCAAATTTAAAATAAAAAATAAAATTCAAAAATATTTTATTTTTTTTTAATTTTTTTAATTATTTTGGCCCGGTCGGGCAAGTGACCCCAGGCCACTCTGGTAGCCTAGGTGAAAACAGAAAATAAAAAGTAAGAAAATAAGTGGGCGAACACGATTTGACACCGCCATCTTTGACGATTTTTCATTTTTGTTTGCCTTAGCAAAATGACTCCAAAATTAACAGGCATGTACCCCACATCATAGAGAACTCGTTAAAAAAAAATCAGAAAAAACAAGTTAGTGTTAGGCATCGAAAACAAAAAATTAAAAAATAATAATAATAATAATAATTGAACGCCGTTCAATTTTGAACACGAATTTAAATCCGCGTTCAAACGCACATTTGAACGTGAACGCGCGTTCACGACGTTCAAACGGTTACATAGGCTGTTCACTCACGCCTTTCCTCCTCTACACGCTTTTACAATCTATGTTCTTCCTCTTCCTCATACTCTTTGTCTCATTCATTCACCTTCCTCACTCTCTCTCTCTCTCTCTCTTTGTGTGTGTCTCTCCCTCTCTCTCCCTCCCTCCCTCTCTCTCTCTCTCTCTCTCTTACACACACACACACACACACACACACACACACACACACACACACACACACATATACACACAAGCATGCATTTTGCTCGCTCAAAACAACACGATGCGAAGTGTGTGGCTCCCAATTCGTGTCATCGTGTGAACAAATGGCTTGCCCTTGCCCCAATTGTCAGCTCTCCCGTTGGATGTGAGCCTGACTCGGGGAGAAAATCAAGGGGGACAAAAATACTTTTCCTTTGCGACCATTCATGCGTATGAGAGAGGGGGAAGAGAGAAAGGG